ATAAATAATTTATCCATTTTTATATATAATTTATCTATTTTAGTAATTATTTGTACACATTTTATGCTGTGTAATATGTGCACACAAAAATTTAATATGCACATATACACATTGTGCACATGAATTTTACACACTGCTTATCAGATAGGGAATCTCATTTCAATAATCAATTAGTTACAGAATTGATGAAATAATTTCACATTCGTTATAATCTATCTACTCCTTATCATTCTAGAATAAATGGATTAGTAGAAAGATTCAATAGAACTTTATGTGAATTGTTAGCAAAATTGGCTGAAAGATCTACTCAATGGAACTAATATATCTCTCACATTCTATTTGCTTATTGTACAAGTAAACAATCAGCTACAAAAATTGAACACTTTTATTTAATTTATAGACGAAATGCAACGTTATCTATTGATAATCCTAATAATCCTAATGACCTTTGTACCAACTAGAATTTTACTATTCAAGAAAGAATTGATCATCTGATTAATAAATTACCCTAGTGCGACTAGATGTAAAGGTACGAATACAATTTGCACAATAGCAACAAAAGAAGTACCATGATAAAAATACAAAGATCTCTGTTCTACATGAAATTGGAGATAAGATTTTGTACTTTGAAGCTGCAAAAGATAAAACCCATTTTGAAAAATTGGATCAAAAATGGAAAGGATCTTATTATATTCATCAAATCTTACTAAATGGCTCTTACAAGATAAGAGAATTAGATGGCCGTATACTTTGTAGTCCAGTAAATGGAGATCTTTTGAAAATATATAAAGACCCTTCTTTTCAGAATTAGATTTTCTTTTTATTTCTTATCATTATTATTTTTAATATGAAACAACTTTATATCGAAGATTTGAACAAAACTTTACTTGAAGAAGTAACTCCTGCTATACCTCCATATTCAAATGGAATGGACCTACAAAAGAAATTTCAAATGACATATCGAATGTTATTAAGAGCTTCACGAATGAAAGACCGGACTCTTACCTTGATAAATGCTTATTACTTGAGAAAACTTCTAGAAACAGAAATTTTCTTACCAGCATAATGAAGCCAATTAAGAGGACTTGTTACCAAATACTATAGTTCTGTTTCAATATGTGTTTATTAGCTCTATGAAATACTAGATGTAGATCAAATCTAATGAGCGAAACATATATCGTTGAAGAATCTTTATCAACTCCCAAGTCATGTATACTGGTCTCTAGTAAATGAAGCTATGGATATTTAGATAGGAGCTCAAAATTTAGAAGGAGAGGATTGAAGCTGTGATCCGTGATTGCGTTAAAAAAAAGTCATGTGATAAAAATGATCGATATAGTTAACAAAGTTGACAAAGTTGCTAAAGTTGTCAATGTTGATCAAGTTGATCAAGTTGACATATTAGATAAATGAGTTATATTTATTATATTTGTTAATCATATCTTATTTGTTATATATATTATATTTATC